TGCTGTGCCCGGGGAGGCAGAGACTCCAGCACACGTGTGCTTGCTGTGGGCCTGGGTCCTGCTGCACATGAAGGCACCAAGGAATCTACCCGCTAACGTGCTGGCGCCATCAGACACCCCGCCACACACAGGCCCAGCCTTCGTGTGCAGGGGAGGAGATACAGGCCTGGACGGCGAGGGGACGGAGGGCCCACATGCAGGCACTCGCCTCCCTGACCCTGACCCTGCCCAGCCGTCCTCGGGGGGGACTAGTTAGCAGGGGCTGGCGCTTTGTCACCTGAGACATTGTTTCAAACAGGTTGGTCTCTGCGGCGGACACAGCCCTCAGCCCGATGCCACCAGGTCTGGAGGACTGACCGACGCGCCAGCCGGCGCCCCCTCCGGCTCCCGCCATGGGGCCCTCCGGGAGCCTGCTGGGCGGACACCTGCAGATTGCCCTGTGGGGAAGCGTGGCAGCTGCCGCCACACTCTTCCTCATCACCTTCCTCATCTTCCTGTGCTCCAGCTGTGACAGGTGAGAGCCTCAGAAGAGACTCAACACGCGGCATTGAAGAGTCTGGACATGGCTTCCTCCCCTGATGGCTCTGTCAGGAGAAGCAGAGCTGGACTCTCCGGACCCAGGAGCTCCTGCCTGCCTGCCCAGTGGGACCCAGGCCTGCGGGGCTGGGACCCTGTGACCAGGACCAAGTGGGCCTTTGCTCCCAGGCCTGGGCAGCCGCCTCTGTCGTTGTCGAGTCTCCCACTAGGGGGCGCTGTTGCCTTGTGCATCCGTGGGAACGCGCTCGAGAACTGATGGCTTCCTAGTCTGTGCAAGTAAAAACAACTATTTTTACTCTGCGGACTTTTCCACAGCCTGGAAGGAAGTGCACATGACTCATCCTGAGAGCATGCGCCCTTCCTGACGTGCCAAAATTTGTCTCGTCTGATTATTTTCTGAGGCCCCTGCAGTGTGACTGCAAAGCCTCCAGCTGGGAGAACAGGAGACATGTCTGGGTGCTCTTTTTTTAAGGCATCGCTCGCCCAGCGTTCACTCTGGTGGGGACCCTGCTGTGACTCGCCCGGCCCCTCCCGCCCGCGCCTGTCCGCCTTTGCTTCCCTGGCAGTGAACCTTGGTCTGACATTAGGATGGGAAGGGGGAGTGTGTTTGATTTTAGATGGTGAGTGTGATATCACAGGAACATCTCATTTCTCATTTCAGAGAAAAGAAGCCGAGACAGTACAGCGGAGACCATGAGAACCTGATGAACGTGGTGAGCCCCAGTGCATGTGTGTGTGCGTGTGTGCACATGTGCATCCATGTGTCTACATGTATGTGCACTTGCATCCTTATGTGTTCATGCGTGCCTGTGTGCCCCCATGCATATGTGTCTACATGTGCATGTTTTCAAACACCAGCCACTCATCTAAGCGTGTTCCCACAAGCTGACAATTTCCTTCCGGAAAGAACAGCCTGAGCTCCCAGCTGCCTGGGCGAGTCCTTCCTGCAGGGGCAGGCTCACCACGGCCGGAGGCCTGTGCACGCAGCCCGGTTGCTGGGGGGCTCTGACAACGGGTGCAGTTGTGCGGGGCCTGGGAGGGAGATCCTGAGGGAGCCAGGGGCTACAGCAGGGATGTGTCTTTGCTGCGTCTGCCCCGCTCTAGCTCCCATGGGCCTTCGCTAGGGCTGTCGTAACGAAGGACCACAAACGGAGCGGCTTAAGTAGCAAGTCCGTTGCCTCAGAGCTCTGGAGGCCAGAATCCCGGGAGGTGTCAGCGGGTTGGCTCTGAGGGGATGTCACTGGTGGCTTGCTGGTGTCCTTGGCATTTGTGGTACCTCCCTCATCGCGTGGTGCCCCCCCCCCGCCCCTGCCCTGTGCGCCTGTCTCTGTCCAAGTTCCCCCTTTGCAAGGACTCCAGTGAGACCTCCTCTTCACTGGTTTCATCTGCAATGATCCCGCTCCCAAACAGGGTCACTCCCAAGGTAGCGGGGCTGGGACTCCACAGGAATTTGGGGAGGATACAGTTCATCCCCTAACAGCTGGCCACCAAGCTCACTAGGGCCTGGGAGCCCCAGCACTGCAGGTGTGGCCGGACCTCACTATGTTCTGCAGGTGTGGCCGGATCTCACTATGTTCTGCAGGTGTGGCCGGGCCTCACTATGTGCTGGAGGTGTGGCCGCTCCTTACTATCTCACTATGTTCTGCAGGTGTGGCCGGGCCTCACTATGTTCTGCAGGTGTGGCCGGGCCTCGCTGCCTGCAGGTGTGGCCGGGCCTCGCTGTGTTCTGCAGCCCTCGGTGTCTTCCGGGTCCTGACCCAGCCCCGAAGGCACTTCAGGACCACCTGGGAAGAGCCTCCTGAGCGGCCTGAGCAGTCTGGTCCTTGTGGTGAGAGAGAAGAGTTCCGCGCTCAGGCGCATGCCCTTGACCCGCTGAGTCATTCCAGCAGTGGGGGCCGGCCCACCCTCGTGTTCACAGAGGCTCTGCCTGAGCCCCACACGGTGCCTGCACAGAGCCTGCTCCCGGTCCCGGCGTGGGCTC